TGGTTCAGGAAGGAAGCAATATAATCTACTCATCAAATATTTACTGAGCACCTAGTACATGTAACGTACTATTGGAAGTATGCAAACAGAAGGAGCAAAACAAGACAAAAATTCCTTCCCTCCACATCCTCAGTAGTGGAACAAAGACCAAAGATCAACCAATCAACCAACAATAAGATACAGTGTAGCCGACTATGGAACCTGCTATGGGGAAAACAAAAACAGGGAAAGACACAGGGAGTGGCAGAGTTGCAGTGGGCGTCAGGGAAGGCCTCTATGATAAGCCAGAACTGAGGCCCACTGGGGTGGGGTGGGGTGAGGAGGGAGGTGTGACCCAGTGGGTCCTGGGGAAGGACTGACCCAAGTGTGAACCAGGAGTGACGCCCACCACCACAGACCTTTCAGAACAGTAAAGGGTTAAGAGCAAGCATTCCAGGAAGAAGACTGCGTAGGTTCAAATCCTAGCTGGGCAATTACGAGCTATGAGACTCAGGGCAAGCCACTCAACTTCTCTGGGCAGCAGTATCCTCAAATGAAAAATGGAAGCAATAATAACTAGTTTGTAAATTTCAGGGACTGAATGAATGTTATAATACCTGACACAGGGTACTAGTCTAAAAAGGTTGGGTATTATTCATGCTTCTATCCCTTCAGGAGTGCTGTGTTCTCAGAAATTAGCAAGTGACTACTGAGTACCCTGAGTTCCGGCTGAGGCACAGAGAAGCAGGGTTCTAAAGTCCTGAGGCAGTCAGCTCCCATACGCCGATCCAACCACACTGCTTGTAAGGTTTCAGATGGCTTCATGGCCACAGAATAAATCTTACTAGCTTCCACTCCAGAGAAAACGTTTCTTTACTGGCTTCTACCAGAATCCAGAATCCACACTTTAGAGAGCTGGCACTAATTGTTAAATTTTTTTCCCCAAGAATCACTCAACTGGCAACTTCCTCACTGCTTCATCTTATTCCTAGAAGTAGCTGAGGCTGTGTTCAGACAATCTGGCAATGAAAGAAGCCCATTCTCTCTCTCATAGGAGAGTGCCTGAAGGTGTTTTTCATCCCTTGAGGAACCTTAACCAGCCACATGAAAGGGGGCTGTCAATGTTTCAACCCATCTAAGTACCCAGCTAATTTTTTTTTAATTTAAGAAACAGGATCTGGCTGTGTTGCCCAGGCTAGAGTGCAGTGGTGTGATCATAGTTCACTGCAGCCTGGAAGGTGGGATTACAGGTGCGAGCCACAGCACCCTGCAAATTTTGACAGGCATTATTTGTCTGTGTAACAAGTTTTATAATTTTTACAGCTGACAACATAATTCCACTTTGGAGAACACATCCAAGGAAGTCAGTGACTCCTTTGCCCCTTCCCCAACAAAAGTAATCTGTACAAAGTGATTCACAGCAGTGTTGCTAATAAAACAGTGATAAATGGAGCTAACCTAAGTGTCTATCAATCACTGGATGATTGAGCAAACAACAGTGTCTCAACCTGAGGAAAACCCATGTGACCAACAATAATTCATAAAAATAATAACAACAGCAATCATTTTTGGAACACTGACTATTAATGAGGTAACATACTGGAGGCAGCCAGGCGCAGTGGCCCACACCTATAATCCCAGCACTCGGGGGCGGGGGGCCGAGGCGGGAGGATTGTTTGAGCTCAGGAGTTCCAGACCAGCCAAGGCACATAGCGAGACCCTGTCTCTACACAAAATAAATAAAATTAGCCAGCTGTGGTGGCGTGCACCTGTGGTCCCAGCTACTTGGGAGTCTGAGGTGGGAGGGTTGCTTGGCCCCGGAGGTCGAGGCTGCAGTGAGCTGTGATCTCACCACTGCACTCTAGGGTGGGCAACAGAGCGAGACCTTGTCTCAAAAAAAAAAAACAAAACAGATGTTGGAAGCTATTATATGTATTATCTCATTGAAAATTTCTTTGTGAGATAGTTATCTCTGTTTTACAAATAAGAAAACTGGGGGCTCAGAAAGGTTCAAGCTTGTGTTTCAGGAAATAAAATAATGAAAAACAAATAAAACCACACACAAGAAAGAAAGGTTCAAATACCTTTAGAAAGCTGGTATTCAAACTAGTCCATCATGCACCAGATGAGTGCCCTTAGACAGGGAACCACTCTGGGTCTCAGTTTTCTCATCTGTAAAATGGGGCAATGATACAGCACCCAAATCAAAAGGTTGTTGTGAGAATTAAACTAGTTATCAAATTTGAAGTACTGAGAGTAGTCCATGGCACCCAATAATAAATGCTATTTTCCCTGCCATTAAGCCACAGACTTCAGTCACATCAATCTACTGCTTTCTCTCTAAACACATCATGTTCTTTCACACCTTTCTTGCCTTTTTCACACGTGTTGTTTTTCAAGTCTACCACTGACTCACTGTGACTGCATGCTATTAATGTGAAGCTCCTTAGAGCAGAAATTCCATCTGCAGTTCTTTAGGGTATGAAATGCTGTTTTGCTTAATAAATATTAAACCAAGGACCACTGCCTAAAATTGTCATTTTAATAGTTGTACTTACATGACAAAGTTCAGGGTGACCCTTTAAAATGCATTTCGTGCTCCTTTCCTGTTCATTTAAATGCTAACTTCTAAGAAAAACTAAAGGGTTAGAAAGCTTTTTTTTTTTTTTTTTTTTTGAGACACAAGACGTAGTCTCACTGTGTCACCTAGGCTGGAGTGCACTGGCATGATCTCAGCTCACTGCAACCTCCACCTCGCCAGTTCAAGTGATTCTCCTGCCTCAACCTCTCAAGTAGCTGGGATTACAGGCATGTACCTATTTTTAGTAGAGATGGAATTTCGCCATGTTGGCCAGGCTGGTCTTGAACTCCTGACCTCAAGTGATCTGCCTGCCTTGGCCTCTCAAACTGCTGGGATTACAGGGCCACCACACCTGGCTGGGTTAGGAATCAGTCTTAAAAAAGAAAAGAGAGAGAGAGAGAGAGAAAAAGGAGGTGGGTGGAGGAAAAATAATAAAAATAAAAAACAAGAAAAGACAAAGCTTTCTCCTTCCCAGTTCGCAGCTTCTCATCCTCCACCTACTCTTTTCTCACCCATCATTTAGAATAATACTGACCTCAGGGCAGTTAAAGTAGTCCTTAAATACTGTATGAAATGTAAAGGATTGTTATTGCTACAAGTAATACCGATCTCGCCTCTGCTGAAGTAATTACTACCAGGCACTTGTCCAACAACATGGACAGACAAGGTTTTTCTGTTCCTTCTCCTGCACACTCTCAGGAAAAATACTGAACTTCACAGATTAGGGACCATACATAATCTCACAACTAGAAAAAGATGGACAATGTCAAAGCTCTAAATAAAAATGAGATTAGCAGACAATATGAATTTTGGCATATTCTCAGGGCTTGGGAGATTTTGGTGGTTTGCCAAGGGATAGAAACCGATCAATTCTAGGACACTGGGTTCTCAGAAGCCTATGAAAGTCAGGAAGAAAATGTGCCTTTCAACACTTTGCCTGAGGTAGGTCTCATACCTATGAAAGAGATCTACCTACAGAGCCTATGTCATTTTCTACCCTCATTACTCTCTTCTAGTTCCAGCAAAAATCAGCTAAAATTGGTAGCAGCCTGAAGGCTAACTTAGGAGTCTTCAAAGAGGTGAAAGCAGCTCAAAAAGAAATTTGGCAAATTTCCTTAGTAATGTTCAGGATTTAGAAGGAACTCCCAGAATCCATCCAACGCTATGAAGATGTTGACTAGAAGGGAAGAAATGGAGGACTGGTAGTGGTAGGGGCAGAGTAGAGAACAGTCCTGCATCTTCTCCCACCAAGTCAGCTTTCATAAAAGGCTTCCGTTCCATCATTTTTCACAGGGGAGTATGGGAAGGGAATCACTCTAATAAAGTGACTCCCTTTGCTCACACAGTGCATGTGGCCTCCTCATTCTGGCACGGGGCCACGCCACTCTTTGCCCCTATGTCTTTTGTTGGAAGGCAGGGAGGCTGCCAGGTGAAGCTGGAAGCACCCAGAGAAAAAGGCGCTTCAATGCCAGTGTTGCAAATACAGCCGTAGTCATGGTAGATGAATTTAGGGAAGAATGGAAGAACAAAACCTCTAAGGTCTCTTAAATTTCCATGAAATCTTATCTGTCTGTACTGGGATTCAGAGACTAAACTGCTTTTCCAATGTTCTAAGCATAAAGTTCTTTGACTTACACTTAAAAATCGGGAAAGATTATATTTATTTAAGATGGTGGTTTTCAGACTTTTAAAAAAGTAGCAGACCACTTGTTTTGCAAATGAAATCTTACAAGGAACCTTACTACAGTAAACAGATAGATGGGGGCTCCTCTGGTTGCAGTGAGGGTGAGGGGCCAGGGGCTCTACCCTCTCAGTTTGGGACATAATATGTGTGACTTACTCCCAAACGGTTTAGAAAAAATACATATATATAGTATGTTTACACATATGGAGAAAACAGTGGTCCTCAAAGTGGGACCCCTGGAGGGGAATGAGCATCACTTGGGAACTTGTTTCTAAAAATAAAAATTCTTGGGCCCGTCTTCAAACCTATTAAATCAACTGTCCGGGGTAGGGCCCAGGAGTCTGTGTTTTAACCTGAGACTTCCTGGTTGCTCAGATACACGCTAAAATTTGAAAACCACTGATACAGAAAGAATGAGAAAACAAATACGGTGAAATGCTAAAACTGGCGAATCCGGGAAAAGGGCATAGGGAGTTTTCTGTATTATTCTTGAAACTTTTCTCTAAGTTTGAAATTACTTCAAAATAAAAATTAACAACAACAACAAAATTACCCTGGGACAATAAGCGTGGAGATGTGGAGAGGGGACCTGGGAGGTAGGGAGGCAAATCACGAGGTTAGTGCCGGAACCACATGAGGTGATATGATTTACAACTAAGACTGTAGCAGCTCCAGTGCTGAGTGAGAACAGGATATCTGCAGTCTTCAAATATAAATCTCTTCCTTGCAGAACATCTGGGCAGCAACCATACTAACCTGAATAGGAGAGTCCGGCAATCTCTATGAAGAGGTCTTCTTCAGAAAAGCTTTCGGGGAGCATGAGGAAAGCAGTGGTCACAGCACTCTTCAGATTTCTATCAAGGGCTGATCTAAGAGTGACATCCTCATTCATTGAGATAATTTTCACCTGAAAGAGGCAGAACATTGGGAAGAAAAGCATTGCTCAAGCATGGGTTACACATGTACTGGAACTATCTCAAACTCTTCCCACTGAAGATCTTGGAATATTGGTTCAGGTGACACAAAATTGTTCCTCTAATAAGTAATCCCAGAATCTCCTTGTTTTATGCCAAGGTCAAAGAAATCATATGACACAGGAAAGGATCAAAATGCCAAAGAAAACAAATATTCTTCTTACATGAGGAAACGCATCATAGGTTTAGAAAAAGAGTAAAAGTCCTTTGGAAACTTTAATATTTTTAAATTTATAATCTCACTATCGTCCCTTAATTTTTTAGTCGACAGAGGCATTTTACCTCTTTATTTAGACCTCATCTGTAACCTTGGACCACATCTAACATAGGAAGTTCATGCTCTATTTCACAATTTCTAGATACACTGATTTTGAACTTGACTAAGGAAAAATGAAAGAAAACTAGCTACAGTAGAAAAAGAATGGATTTTAGAGATAGGTATGGGCTCAAGTCCAGGTACCTACCAGCTATGTGAGTTTGGGCAAATGATTTGCATCAAAGAACTGTCACAAAGATTGACTATAATAATAAATGTAAAGTGCCTAGAATACTAGCAATTGCTTTGCTCGTAAAGAAATTTTCTCCTCAATACAGAGTAGAAGCTTCCATCTGAGACTTTCCGCAAATCCATTAAAATACAAAGAGTGACTGCGTGTGGTGGCTCACACCTGTCATCTCAGCACGTTAGGAGGCCAAAGCATGAGACCAGCCTGGGCAACACAGTGAGACCCCATCTCTATAAAACAAAAACCAAAAAAACAAACACCTAGTCAGGCATAGTGATACACAAGTGTGGTCCCAGATACTTAGGAGTTTGAGGTAGGAAGACAGCTTCAGTCCAGGTGGTTAAGGCTGCAGTGGGTTGCAGTAAGCCATGATCATGACACTGCACACCAGCCTGAAAGACACAGTGAGACTCTGTCTCCAAAAAAAAAAAAAAAATACTAAGAGCTCCAGTCTGCACTGTAGTTAAGATTCTTTTAAAGACTGCACTGTAGTTAAGAGATGTGTTCAAATCCCAACTCCATCTCTTACTAGCTCTGTGACTATGGGCATAATTCCTTATCAGTAAAATGGGGTAAATAACAGAATCAAGCTCATAAGGCTGCTAGAAAGATCAAGTGAGTTACTGCACACAAACCCTTCAGTGAAATGAGCTTCCTTGTGTGCGCTTCTCAGTGCACAAGGCAAGAGCTTCTCTGGGCCAGGGGTTCTCATCTTTAGCTAGCATTAGCATCACCTGGAGGACTTGTTAAAATGTGTATTATCGGATGCAACTCCCAGAGTTCTGTTTCAGGAGGCCTGGGTGAGGGCTGAAAAATGTACATTTCTAACATGTTCTTAATGCCCAGGGACCACATTTTGAGAATTACTGCTCTAAGGTGTACACTTACTGCTGTCAAATTGCTCTTCAGAGTGGTTATACCAATTTACACTCCCACCATAATCTTTTTAAAACATCATACTGTTTCTGACTGACTTTCTACACAAAAGAAAGGGTCTAGAAGTCCCTAATAAAGACTCCCATATGTCTAAAATGTATCTACCATCTCTAAATCATGGGTACTATTGACACATTTTTCACCTATTCTAGAAAACAGGGCATAAGTTGCCTTTTGTTTGTCAAATACAGATAATTTTTGACAAAATTAAGATGGCACATAAAAGATACACTATGAGAAACTGCAAAATAAATATCAGAAAGCAAAGAAAGAGGAGAATGCTGCAGTATCCCAAGGCATAGTTTCTTTTCTTCTAATTGTAAAAAACAGCATTATAAAACACATACTACTATTTTATCAATCAGGCTTCAGAATCTAAATTCTTTTACCTTTTTTCCCTACTTTTTTCTAAGGGAATATTTATAACATACAAACATCATATATGGTAGGTACGCCACTTGATTCAATACTACCCCCTCCCTCCCTTACAATTCTGAGGACTTAATGGACCTTAATTAAGCCTTTCAGCCCTTAGGTGAGTTCAGCATTACTGCAATCATCTGCAGAGAGTAACCCATGACCAGCCAGGAACATGACTTGCCTACAGTTGCATAATGAATTGGCAACAAAAATCAGGATCACACCCTTTTACTTGGCAAATTCAGCTCTGAATATTCTGAATTATTCTCATGCATTGATTTATGGTTCTATTCTGGTTAACTTATCTTGAAAGATGATTAAAACAAATTTTAAGGTCCTATAAAAACACCTATGCTTATTCCTTGAATAACTTTCCTAAACCTTATACAGTTGGCTTTTCATATCCGTGGGTTCTGCACCCATGGATTCAACCAATCACAGATGGGAAACATTCAGGGGGGGAAAAAAAAAAATCCACAAACTTCCAAAAAGCAAATGTAGAATTTGCCACCACAGGCCAATTAGTATGTTGAAGGCAGGTGAATGACGTGATGTCTAAGCACAGTATTAGGTATTACCAGTCATCTAGAGATGCTCTAAAATACACAGGAGGATGTGCATAGGTTATATGTTAATACTAGGCCATTTTATATCAGAGACGTGAATCTGAGGGTGGGGGCAGGTCCTAAAACCAATCCCTATAGACACCAAGGGATGGCTGTATTCCATACTGAATTATTAATCTAGGAGGGCAACTGCCTCCTCTTACTGACAGAAAACTTAGGCCTAGAGGGGGTTAAACGATTTCTCCAAGAGACTAGTGGCAAACTGGATCGGGATCCAGTTCCAGGATTCACCCAGTGCTCTTTCCACAACTCTGTGATGTCTCTTTACTTCCACATTCCCATTCTTCATCCCCATTCATCACACATCCTTCTCAATAATCCTTCACCTCTGTTTTTGATGGCTTAGAAACCCAGTGAAATTAGGAGCTATTTTGAGACGCTAACAACTCAAACATGCAAAGAAAAGTTTGGGGAAATTTTCCTAGTTAACAAAATACCACTTGTTCTCCAAGGAAGTTGTTCTACCTAGACTGTAAGAAAGCAGTCTGCTATTTAAGGTTAAGAGGGTGAAAATAAAAGCATCCTTACTCAAAGGAAAAATGTCAATTCGGAAGATTCTGCTACTGTGCTGATCTGATTCTTCAACGAAAGGTGAACTAGGAACTTGTCTCAGCAGCACTGTTATTTGTTGTTCAGAGTGAAAAGCCAGTGAACTCTTGGGACACTGCCAGAGAGGCCTGGGAAAAGAAGAAAGTGCTCAGATTTGTGAATAGCTGTTTGTATCTTACTGGGAATGCCCCAACCTGAACTGCATAGATAACATTAGCACGACTGCCAGGGAGGAAAATCTTTACTGGAGAGAAAGGGGCATTGCTTAAAGGGACTTTCAAAGGAGAGATCTGTGAGTACCTTTCAAGACAGGAAAAAAGAGAAAGTCACATGTGGGCTCCTCTAAAACTGTTACAAGGAGAGACTACTTGAATTGCAAAGAGTGAAATTTTAATCACAAAGACCACAGCCCTACCTACTGTTCAAATACTCAACCGTCCACCAGAACTGTTCCATTCTAAACGACCAGGAGGTTTAACTCTTCTAAATAGTCATTGCTTAAGGATGAAGAAGAAACACTGAACATTACAGCTGGATGAAACCTTACTCAATATCTACCTGCTGGACTCTGGGCTCTTCGAGGACAAGCAACATGGTATCATTTCAAAAAATTCCTTTGGCATACACAGAGAAGAAACAGTTGTCTTTTGAATAAAGAAATGAATGGCTCAATCTGTGCATTTCAAACGCTAGCAGCCCAAACATTTGCTTATAGCAGGGCAGAGCCAGAATTAGTAAGCCAGGTTTTCCAACTCCCAATTTAGGGATCTTTTATACCACTGGGGGTTTTTCTACCCACACAAAAAAATTAATCAATAAAGCTACAATACGGTGATGGTTGCACTCTGTGAATATAGTAAAAATCACTGAATTGTACTCTTTAAATGGTTGAGCTGTATGGTATGTGAATTTTATCTCAACAAAGCTGTTATTAAAAAATAGGCCATACATGGGGGCTCACGCCTGTAATCCTAGCACTTTGAGAGGTTGAGGCAGGTGGATCCCTTCAGCCAAGGAGTTCAAGACCAATGTGGGCAACACGGCAAAACCCCATCTTCACACAAAAAAAATACAAAAATTAGCTGGGCATGGTGGCATGTGCCTACAGTTCCAGCTATTCAGGAGGCTGAGATGGGAGGATTGGTTGAGCCCGGGAGGTTGAGTAAACCGTGTTCATGCCACTCCACTTCAGCCTGAGTGACAAAGCAACACCCTGTTGCAAAAATAAAATTAAAATTAAATAAAGCTACATTACTAAAAGGCAAAATATATTGCAACGAATACATTAAATAAATTAAAATCCTCTTAACAAGGTGGCAAAAAACCACTGCATGTCAATATAAATGCCTTAAAAACTCAAGCACAATTATCTATACACTAAAAACAATGTAAAATACAAATATCCAAAATTATGTTAACTAGGAAAGTAACCATTAATTATTACTTGAGAGGTTTCTTGGCTTAAAAAAAGATTGGTCACAATGCTATATTAAACACTTCAAATTCCATGGTTTTTTACTTGGGAAAATATTAATAAACTCAGAAACTTAAGGTTGTACTGAAAATAAAATTAGGGTATTACATCAATTATGAGATAAGTTAATGGTAAAGTATGATAAAAATTTAACTTACACTCAACTTTTCCCAGAAAGTCCATCTTTTTAAGCAAGATACTCATATATATATTTGGAGACAGGGTCTTGCTCTGTCACTCAGGTTGGAGTGCAGTGGCATGATCTTAACTCACTGCAACCTCCACCTCCTGGGTTCAAGTGATTCTCCTGACTCAGCCTCCCTAGTAGCTGAGATTACAGGTGTGCGCCACCATGCCTGGCTAATTTTTCCATTATTTAGTAGAAATGGGGTTTCGCCATGTTGGCCAGGCTGGTCTTGAACTCCTGACCTCAGGTGATTCCCCGACCTCGGCCTCCCAAAGTGCTAGGATTACAGGTGTGAGCCACCGCGCCTGGTCTATATTCCTTTTAAAGACTTAAATTGTTAGTGATTGAGAAATTCTATTTCGATTTGTAAGATGCAAGACAATTCTGGGGCTTTAGACAACATAATTTAATGTGACTCCTTTTAAAACACATAAAGATAAAGAATTCATACTCATATTCTCATAATTCTTTCTTAAGATATTTACCCAACTTTCTTGTCCAAAATACTACCACCCTCTTTTCATTAGATTTGTTTATCAAGTCTGATTAATACTTGCTGCCACCTAGAGGTGGCAGTTTGTTTAAAATCATTATCATTATAAGTGGTAGTTTGCTTAAAAATTTTTATCATTCTGGTTAACAGTGATTTCCACATGTTGAAAACTGGGAGCAAGGTGGAAGAGAGAGTTAATTTGCCCATTTATCATTCTCAATTAAAAAAAATACGTTCAACACTTTCAAATGATTTTATGATACCCTAATTTTCTTGCGCTAGAAGCACAAAAAGCCTTAGAAAATAATCATTGCTATCAGTAACATTTTCTTCTCCAAGTCAGCTGAGAAATGCAGAGTTCTGCATGATATGAGCATGGCTGCTATTACTTGTCTTGAATTGCTGTTTTTGTTTTACAAGGATATAACAGTTAGATAAAACCTGAGGTCATTTCCAGTGCTTACATTCTGAGATTTCATGGCATTTCTGGTTTCTAAAGACTTTTTTAAAATTTTGAAATATTCTAAACATAAAGTATAATGCAAAGAATAATATAACATGTTAACATTCGATTTCTATCTCAAAATAACTGAGATAAGCAAAGGCACAGAGAGAAGGGAAAGACCATTTTCTGAGTGTCTACTAAGTACCAGGCATTTCAGAACCCTCTGAGGTCAGCGCCATCAGACTCATCTACAGATGCAAACACCCTGAGGCTTAGGGAGACTGCCAGTGGTGCAGGGTCACAATATTAGCAAGCATCAGAGCTGCGATCCTAACCCTGCATCTGTTGGATTCTGAAACACTGCGTTCTTCCCAGCACTACTACCCTGCTTGCAATACTCCTTTTCTTTTTTTTTTTTTTTCCTGAGACTAGGTCTCACTCTGTCACCTAGGCTGGAGTGCAGAGTGCAATAGCACAATCTCAGCTCACCTCTGCCTCCCAGGTTCCAGCGATTCTCCTGCCTCAGCAGCCCGAGTAGTTGGAATTACAGGGGCATGCCGCAACCCCCAATTAATTATTGTATTTTTAGTAGAGATGGGGTTTTTCCATGTTGTCCAGGCTGTTCTCGAACTCCCGGCCTCAAGTGATCTGTCTGCCTCAGCCTCCCAAAATGCTGGGATTACAGGCATGAGTCACGGCACCCGGCCCTGCTTCCAATTTTCAACACCTTTGTGGACCTTTATTCCACAGATAAATTAACTGAAGTTCAGAAAGATAAAACAAGATGCCCAAGTTTATGTAACAGCTAATGGGTGGCAGGACTGAATATGACTCAAGGCTTCTAATTTGATGTCCATCAAGCTACATATTTTGTTTTTGTTTGTTTTGAGACAGAGTCTCGCTTTGTCACCCACGCTGGAGCGCAGTAGTGCAATTTCAGCTCACTGCAACCTCCACTTTCTGGGTTCAAGCGGTTCTCCTGCCTCAGCCTCCTGAATGGCTGGGATTACCAGCATGTGCCACCATGCCCGACTAACTTTTGTATTTTTAGAAGAGATGGGGTTTCACTATGATGGCCAGGCTGACCTCAAGTGATCCACTCACCTCGGCCTCCCAAAGTGCTGAGATTACAGGCGTGAGCCTCCATGCCTGGCCCATCTTTTGCATATTAAAAAAAAACAAACAAAAAAAATCCTTGGAAATAAAATATTTACAAATTTCCAATTGCTCAATTATGAGCTTTACTAGTCATCCAACTTAGAAATGAGAAATTTATTTGTATACATATGAAATTTCAGTAAGCCTATCATTTCTGGACTTTAAAAATTTTTTTTTTTTTTTTTTTTTTTGAGACGGAGTCTCGCTGTCACCCAGGCTGGAGTGCAGTGGCCGGATCTCAGCTCACTGCAAGCTCCGCCTCCCGGGTTTACGCCATTCTCCTGCCTCAGCCTCCCGAGTAGCTGGGACTACAGGCACCCGCCACCTCGCCCGGCTAGTTTTTTGTATTTTTTAGTAGAGACGGGGTTTCACCGTGTTAGCCAGGATGGTCTCGATCTTCTGACCTCGTGATCCGCCCGTCTCGGCCTCCCAAAGTGCTGGGATTACAGGCTTGAGCCACCGCGCCTGGCCTAAAAATGTTTTTAATTAAAGTAAAAGTTACACTGAAGTGCACAGATCTTAAGGGTACAGTTTGATAAATTTGTCCAGGCATATACCTGTGTAACCCCTGCCCAGATCAAGTGTTTCTGGACATTTTAAGGAGATACACTACAAAACTGTAAGCCCAGGTGCAAGGCAGGAGAATCCTGACAGCCCATGCACATCAATAAAGAGATGTTTATGACACAAATCAGTGAGCTAAGGCTATGGAAATCTGTCATTTTTCCTGTAGACAGCTATAGAAGCAGCACATCGCTGTCAGGGGAGACACTCGAGAACAATCCACCGCCCTCTTCTGGAGCCTGGGACCCTCTCACACACAATGAAAATCTTCCTTTTAGTAGGAAGTGTGAGATTAGCAACTGTAACTGTTTAACATAGTTCTCAAACTGTGGAAAGACCCCTTCTCAGAACACAGACTGATTATCTGAAAAATATAAAAAAAAAAAAAGAAGGTGATATTGCAAATACTTGTTAAAAGTTTAAGTTCTCTCCCACTTTTTTTTTCCTGTTTTGTGTTTGTTTCCTGTTTCTACTAAAGCCCAAGGAGAAGTCTACTCCCCATAGCCTCCTCTACCTGTGTCCCAAAAGAGCTAAGACAATAGAGAAGGCATCACCACTGGCCTGAGAAAGAGAATAAAAGGGATGGGAACACCAGTCCCTTGGAATAACTACTTGGTGCATTCATTTACTCAAAGGTTACTGAAGCATCCCACGATCCAGGCACTGCCCTTGGGATGCATCAGTGGACAAACAGTGCCTCCGTGGTACATGTCCTAGGAGACAAGGTGACTGGGTAGTGCTGAGGAAGGCTCCACTGAGGCACTAGGCACCTCCTCTGCCACCCTCCCCCAGTCCAAATGAGTCAACTTGGAGCCCAATGCAGTCACTGGAGAATCTTGAGTAGGAGGCCAGCAGGAGGGAGAGTGGACTGCGACCCGGCTTCTACTCCCAGCACTTCTGACTCCAAATATGGGTGTCACACCAACCAATTATCCAGCCCTCCAGACACCAACTGACTGTCCTACAACTAAATTCGATTCTGACCCTAGCTACCTGGAGTCAGAGTCAGATCCCACAGGTTACGGGCTCAGTTCCACAAGCCTCCCCCACTTCAGACACCAATCACAAGTCCAGGTGGCCTGTAAAATGATTGTTTACTAGAAAGGGATAGGGGCTACTTCCCCTTTCCTCTGGCTTCATAATTTGCTAGAATGGCTCACAGAGCTCAGGAAGGCATTTTTTTTTTTTTTTTTTAGACAGAGTCTCACTCTGTCACCCAGGCTGGGGTGCAGTGGCGTGATCTCGGCTCATTGCAATTTCCATCTCCCAGGTTCACGTGATCCTCCTGCCTCAGCCTCCCCCAGTAGCCGGGGTTGCAGGCATGCACCACCACGGCCAGCTAACTTTTTTGTATTTTTAGTAGAGATGGGATTTCACCACGTTGGCCACGCTGGTCTTGAACTCCTGACCTCAAATGATCCACCCACCTTGGCCTCCCAAAGTCCTGGGATTACAGGTGTGAGCCACCGTGCCCAGCCAGGAAGGCACTTCACTTGCATGTACTTGGTTATTACAAAGGACACAACTCAGGAACTGCCAAATGGAAGAGATGCTTGGTAAGATACGGGGTAGCAGAAGGGTGTGGAGCTTCACGACATCTCCGGGCACACCACCCTTCCAGCACCTTGATGTGCTTACCAACCCAGAAGTTGTCAGAACCCCTTTGATTTTTTATGGAGGTTCCACTGCCTATGCATGACTGATTAAATCACTGGCCACTGGTGATTGGCCCAATCTCCAGCCCTTCTTCCCTCTGTGAAGGTGGGAGTGGCGGGCCTGAAAGGTCCAGCCTCTCATCACATGGCTGGCTCCCTGGCAACCAACCCTATCCTCAATCTATCTAGGGGCCCATCAAGAGTCACTTCATTAGTATAAACTCAGATATGACTGAAAGGAACTTGTTATGAATAATAAAAGACACTCATCCCTATCACTCAGATATTCCAAGGGTTTTAGGACCTCTGAACCAGGAGCCCAAGGAAAAAAACCAAATACATATTTCTTCTTATATCACAATATCACAAGAGAATATGTGGATATTATTTGGCAATAAATTTTATAGGGAATAGGAAGAGTCAGAAACTCATTTCTACTTCCAGAGTTCCATCTCACTGCAATCACAATGATCAAAGTAAGGTTAGGCTCAGAGAGGAAAGGCATCCCTAACTGTGCAGCCTGTAAAACACTCACCGGTTTTTGGAGTCGTCCAGCAATGTATAAGTTATTCCAGTTGAGGAGATCTTCAATCAGAATATTAGTGCTAATAACTCCATATTTGATAAGCTGAAGGGAAAAATGGCACAAAAAGGAGTAAAATACCATGATATTGCTTATACAAGTACAAAATATAAGGAAATACATAAAATTCTTGATCAGAGCAGTACTTTGATTCCAAAGCCACTCAAAACGCCTGCCTGGTGAAAACACACATCTCCACCAAAACCTTCGAGAGGTTTAGTGCCCAAGACTGATTTGGCCGCTAGGGTATCTGAGGCGAGGTTGAAACTGCCTTCACAAGATTATAACAGTAAGAGAAGTCCAGCATGGCTGACTCCATCTTGCTGCCAGCCTCACAGGCTGGCTATCCAAGCTCATGCCTGGGCGTAGGTCAAGCCAACCAAGGGGGAGGAATATAGTTTATAGTTTAATTTTGAAGCAAGTATGACAATAGTCCCTCCCTAAAACTGTTCCCCTCCCCAGTCCAGAGCTGAAATCACCTTTGTAAAACTAATGAAAGTCCACAAGATTAGGGTTATGGGAAGAGCCTGAATTCTGCTAAAATGTTGGCATAGCTTCTATGATGTCTTACTGCTCAGGAGACATGTGTTCAGAGGTCACAAGACTTGTGAGTTCTCCAATTAATCCTATAGATAACATCACTACTGGAGAACCTAAGATTGGTCTTTTGAGATGTTTTCAGACATTTGCATTCTGGCAACTGACTGACCCCACCCAGAACCACCATGACTCAACACTCAATTGGTCCTGTTGTCCCTCCCCCACCAAAAGGCCCACTCCGCCCATGAGGACTGTTTTCCACACCTGTATGATCGCATCCCCAACCAATCAGCAGTACCCATTCCCTAGTCCCCTGCTCACCAAACTATCCTTCAAAAACCCTAACTTCCGAGCTTTCAGGGAGAGTGATTTGAGTGACAACGCCAGTTCTCCTGTGTGCCCAGCCTCACGTTAATGTTAATTAAACTCTTTTTTTTTTTTGAGATGGAATCTCACTCTGTCACCTGGAGCGCAGTGGCACAATCTCAGCTCACCGCAACCTCTGCCTCCTGGGTTCAAGCCATTCTTGCACCTCAGCCTCTTGAGTAGCTGGGATTACAGGTGCACGGTACCACGTCTGGCTAATTTTTTGTATTTTTAGTAGAGACAGGGTTTCATTATGTTGGCCAGGCTGGTCTCGAACTCCTGACCTCTAGTGATTTGCCCACCTCGGCCTCCCAAAGTGCTGGGATTACAGGCGTGAGCCTGGCCTAATTAAACTCTTTATTGCAATACCACAGTCACAGTGCCTGTCCATGCAACAGGCAGGAAGAACCCACCAGGCAATTACAAGGTGACTACTATTTCAACTTAGGTCCATGTGATGTTAAAGATGGAACGGCTCTTAGATGCTATCTAGTATTGGTCCTCAGTGGATTGGGAGTAAAAAAAACTGGTCCTTCCTCAAAGACAGTTTGAGAAGTGATAATTTAGTTCATGTTCCTCATTTGAGAAATAAAAAACCTAAAGCTCAGAGAGAACAAATGACATGCTCAAGGTGGCACCAGTAGTAGCAGAGTCAAAACTAGGTCCCAGAATTGCAGTCTGGTCTTCCAATGCTCTTTTCATTACAAAGTACAAGAAATTTTCCTTTAATTAAAACTTTTCACTGACATCGTTTACATAGTGAATTTCTCTTTTGCTATTGACTGTTTCAAACACTTCTGTAATTACAAAGCAACATCCAAAAATAAAACTTCTTTATTCACGCTAAAACAAGAAATTACAGTTCAGTCCATTTCTTTTTTTTTTTTTTGAGACAGAGTCTCACTCTGTTGCCCATGCTGGAGTGCAGTGGCATGATTTTGGCTCACTGCAGCCCTGAACTCCCTGGGCTCCAGTGATCCTCCCACCTCAGTCTCCAGAGTAGCTGGAACCACAGGCATGCATCATCATGCCCGACTAATTTTTGTATTTTTTGTAGAGACAGGGTTTCACCATGTTGCCCAGGCTGGTCTTGAACGCCTGGGCTCAAGCAATCCACCCACCTTGGCCTCCCAAAGTGCTAGGATTACAGGCATGAGCTGCCGTGCCCGGACAGTTAAGCCCATTTCAATAATAATTTGCACAAATCCTGCAGATTTCCCAGGTTACAAAGTCCCATTTGCATAAACAAGTATCTTCAGACCCACTTTGCTGAACTTCAGTATCCAAACAGCCTTCTCAAGCTGCAAATATATAAAAAGCAGCTATAAATTGTCAACTAAAAAGTATGGTCTTTTGGCATATAATTATGCCCGAACATTTGGTTACTGGAACTTATAATATTGCTTGAAAATTACTAATTAGAGATAGGTTTGGCATAATATTAACTGTGGAGAAAGAAGAAAGCTAAGTGTTCTGCATGACTCAAGTGGATATAGAAGGCTGTACTGAGTGTCAGCCTTTTTCCCCCCAACTCCAGCAGCAGCACTGCAGAAAGCCCTTCTAGCTGCAGTCAAGTAACCACTGGGAGGTAACGGAAACACCATGGGCCTGGAAGTCAGGGGACCTGTTGCAAACTAGTTGCATGACCTTATGGAAGTCATTTCCTCTCTTTGAACTTCAGTTTCCTCAACTGCAAAATACAGGCAAAGCAGGGCTGGATCTCAACCAGAAACGCAAATATATGGCCCAAAGGGTATGCAGACATCACCAGTCAATCACAACACTTACTCCCCAGCCAAGTTCAGATAGACCTTCAAATCCTTCTCAGGCCAGTACTCCAACCTCCTGCCCTTTAAAGCGTGGGCCTTTGACCAGTGGCATCGGCATCACCTGGGAGCTTATAACAAATGCAGAATCATGCCTATAATCCCAGCACTTTGGGAGGCCAAGGTGGGTGGATGACCTGAGGTCAGGAGTTCGTAAACAGCCTGGTCAACACAGTGAAACCTCACTCTACTAAAAATACAAAAAATTAGCCAGGCATGATTACAGAAGCGGGTGCTGTAATCCCAGCTACTCGGGAGGCTAAGGCAGGAGAATCGCTTGAACCCGGGAGGTGGAGGTTGCAGTGAGCGGAGATCGCCAACCATTGCACTCCAGCCCTGGGCAACAACGAGCCAAAAACCTCCATCTCAAAAAAAAAAAAAAGCCAGAATCCTTGGCGGGCCCATGGTGGCTCAACCGTAATCCCAGTACTTCTGGGATCGCCAAGATGTCAGTTGTTTGGGATCAGGAGTTTGAGACCAAGCCCTGGGCCAACATGGCAAAACCCCCGTCTCTCGAAAAATATCACAATTAGCCAGCAAGGTGTAGGTGCTGCTTAGTCCCCGCTAATGGGAGGTGAAGGCGGGTAGATTGGTCTTGAGCCGCGGAGCAGAGGTTGCAGTGAGCCAAGAACGCGCCAACCTGTAATCCAGCCTGGGTGACAGAGCCAGGACTCTGTTTCAAAAAAGAAAGAAAAAAAAAAAGCCCAGAATCTCAGGTTCCATCTCAAGACCGCAACTGAGTCAGCGATCTGGCATTTAAAATGGGGACATTCCAGGTGGTTTGATGCCTGTCAACGTTTGACTGCTTTGGCATGGAGTGGCCCAGAGCTGGCACAGCAAGTGAAACCCATATGATCATCCCTGCCCAGGGAAGCTCTAAAAGAAGCATTCTGATTTAGCACCCCCCTACTGATCGCCTACAGGTTGGGTTTCGTCTTGGTGCCTTGACAGCTCCTCTGGAGAACTGCGGAGGCTTCAGCTGAAAGACAGTTCAAACAAAAGTTCCTGCTGTCAGTATGAACCACTCAGCAGGAATCCATGCAACTTACCTGCCTCTCCAAACACCCAACTGTCAATTCCACCCCCATCTCCTAAGCAACGCAAAGAGGTTCCTGCTATCACCTGACACACCTGCCTCCCCAAATCACCTGTGTTACCTTCTTCACTTAACAACTTCTTGGCTGGGGTGTCTGCCCTCTTCTAAGATAAAATCAGTTCAAGGCTGACCTAAAAATGCCTGCTACTTCCTCCACTGACCAGACCAAATCGGTTCCAGACCCAGCAGCCTCAGCACTGTTTGGAAGGCAGTTAAGGATGCAAAATCTTCATCTCCACCCCAAGAACCTAGTGATCAGAACTATAAGGGGTGACCCAGCCAATCCGTGTGTCCAACAGACAACATAACCTAGGGATTCGATGCACATCTAAAAAGCGTTAAGAAAACGCACTTGTGCCGAAGACAAAAAAAAGATAAAGGTCCAGTCTGCCGCGCTCAGTGCCACGCCCCTGTAATGCCCAACATCTTTGGGAGCTGAGCGCGGCAGATTTCTTCTGAAGTCGGAGTTCGAGACCCAGCAATGGCCAACATGGTGAAGCGCCTGTCTCTAACTAAAAAGGTGGCACACACCTGTAATCCCAGCTAACTGGGAGGTTGAGGCAGGAGAATCACTTGAACCCACGAGGCAGAGGTTGCAGTGAGCCAAGATCACACGACTGCACTCCAGCTTGGGCGACAAGAGCAAAACTCTGTCTCAAAAAATAAAAAAAATTTAAAAAGTCAGTCACACCCAACCACCTCCTCACACTGCAATCACAGTTAATGGGAGATGAGGAAGGACTCCAGTCCCTGCTCTGTCCCCAAGTTCAAGACGTCTGGCAGGAGTGTGAATGTTCCCTGACTATAAGAACATACACACTATAAAAACATACATATTTCCTGACCATAACAACGTCCAGCAGGAGTGTGAATGTTTCCTGACTACAAGAACATACATATTCAGCTGGCACTCTAATCATCCAGGTTAGTAACCAGCCAACTTAAGACAAAGGCCAGCAGTCACTTACCCTGCCATCACACATGATCAATGAATTGTAGTAAACTCCAGCGCCATAGTTATTCTGGATGGATGTGATCATCTTGGGCCCTAAAACTTTTAGGAAAGAGTAGTGTCTCCAATTTTTCTTCAGGTTCTTTGAATGCCATGCGAAAGGGTCATCTACTGTGAACACAAAGTCCAGCATAGCATTCTGCAGAGTGAAGAAAAGACAATAATTTCAGTATTAATTCCTAGAAAGGCAGCAAGAGAGCATGGAAAAGCTCTAACATATTATGCAATTATGATCAATAGTCAGAAGGCCTGGTGCTGTCATCAGAAACGTGAGCGAGTCTCTGGAACCAATTTGAGCTTCATTTTCATCAATGTAATAATAGCAAACACTTCTTTAACATGTATTATTGTGCCAGCATTCTTTAAACACTTTATGGATAACATACGCAGTCACTCCATTTATCCTCACCACAACCCTAAAAGGTAGCTACTGCTATTATCTCAATTTTACAAGAAACCAACGCACAGGGGATGATGCTCTTCGCCCAAGGACACAGAGCTTGTGAGTGGCAGACCTAAGTGGTCTGGCTCCAAATTGTGTGTGCTGTACCACTGCACTACACTGCCTTTCACAAATGTTAACTAAATGTGCTCCGCTTTTCTTCCAGATCAAATTAGCACCATCTGGATAAACTCTATGAAATATTTTATAAAAGGAAGTCAGTTATTTTATCTCTTACCCATTCACCAACCACTCACTGAGTACTTATAATGAGCTCTGACAGGCCCTAGGGTAGAAGTATAGAGCTCAGAGTCTACTGGAGAGAATAAACAAATTATCACTACATTGACTTCACAGAGGAATGCAAAATGTACTAGCTGCACTCAGAATGGGGATCAGATCAGGAGCACAGGAGGGAGAAATTCTCCTAGAGATGACAAACCTGAGTCTTGAAGGACATGTGAGTTAAACAGACTTGCTGGAAGCACTGGGGGAAGCACAGGGAAGGGTAGGGAGCCGTGTTGGAGGAAAGTGCTCTGTGGATATGGGAGCCGGCATGTTCTGGAAGCTGCCGTTAGATATGACTGAAATAGAACACATTTATGTGGTGGAAGATGAGATCAGAAAGGGAGGCTGTTTGCCACACTAGAAAATTTTCCTGCAGAAGAGCTGACTGGAGAGAGGAGGGACTAAGGGAGTGGGGGGAATTAGATCTGAAGCCATGGCAAGATTCCAGGTAAGAAATGAAATTATATTAGCTAAGGCGCTAAGGATATGAGACAGATTTAGGTGTTGGAATCTACAACTTGTTCACTTGAATGTAAGGAATCAAAAGTGAAGGAATGGGAAGGAAGGACCTTGTCTTGCAGAAGTTCCAGGTCTACTCAAAGGAAAACCTCCATTGCAGAATGCAGAGGCCGCCATCAGGAGGCTAACACCTGCTCTGTTTACCACAGTGTGACTCTACAGACCACTGCGGACACTTAAGATTTGGTGGCGAGGCGGGTATAGAATAAACATGTTTTTTAAAAATGTGTAATTACGTTAAGGTATATTCAGGAAAAATAACTAGCCTATAATAACATATAATTTCTCATATGCTGCCAATTTAAAGAAAAATATTAAATAGTAGTATAAGTGGGAAACAGAAATCCAAGCCACAGCATAGATGGCCTCACCAGGAAGTGAACAGGCAGGATGTTCATCAGAAGACAGACTACGGTCAGGTATCCAGATGCAGGGGAACCAATTAAAACCTGCACACTGAATTCTGCAAACTACAAGGAAGACTGTACCCTTAATAAGGCTGTGCTGAGTCAACTCTGAAAAGTAACAATGCCTAGTCTCAGACCCTTGTTAAATGTGCTGAGCGAGGGTAAATATACGGGTCACGCACTAACTTTTGTTGTTAGTTACTTTCACTGCACCTGCCCGGGCCCTACAACCAGTCCGCCAATTTCCTTAAGTCAGAAGATCATTTTGCATTTTCTCCTACATTTATAGAGGTGACGCTCAACAAACTTGGCTGCGTATTAGAATCACCTGGGATGTTTCTTAAATTCCTGAAGCCCAGGCCGCATCCCAAACCAATTAAATCAGAATCTCCATCGGCGGAACCCGAGCATTAGGATTTTCTTAAAAGCTCCCCAGAAAATTCCGATGTCCACCCGACTGAAAACACTGAAAGAACCTGATAACTATTTCCTTTCCTTTCTTCCACTTGCCCCTGCAGCAACTTTTCCTTATGCTTAACTGCTTCTCCTGCTCTAGATCCACGTGGATTCCTAAGTATCCTTCAACACCGTCGCTTCAACTCGCGTTGTCGTTATACTAGGAATGCCGACCTATGGTTCACTCTGCTAGTGGACAAGTGGAGTGTGCAGAGCGGACAGGCGGCTCTCCGGCTCTGAAGGAATCGAGGGCAAAACAGGACTCGTGAGAACAGACAGTTCCCCGTCGTGGGGCTGACGGGGATTGCCTGGGCTCACCTTCTGGTCTGAACTGGGCCCTGCCTGGCGGTACACCCCGGAGCCGTAGACGAAAGCCAGACTCAGCTCCTCGGGGAAGTGAGACAGGATCTTGCGGAAGGTCACCCCCGAGCTCTGCAGCGCCTGCAGCGCCATGGGGTCGAGGCTGACAGGGGACCCTCAGCGCAGCAAGCCGAGGACAACAGGGCGGGGAACAGAAACCGGGTAGGCGGTTGAGGGTGGGAAATGGAAGTTGGAGACCGGCTCGAGGGACGCAAGGCTGAGTGTGGGGTGGGACTGCAAGAACGGGCAAGGATTGGGGCGTTGGGCCACGAACATCAGCGGCGGCAAGACACAGCCGGCTTAGACTGGCGTGGGCGGTGCTCGTGCCGGCCGAGCTTCCGTCCCTTGCTACGCCCCACGCACGCACACGCGCTTCCAAGACGCAAGAGGCGGTGCTCGCCTTAGTGTGGGGAAGGTGATGGCTCTGCATTGTCCCCTCGTGGTCGGAGGAGTGCTCTACAGGCTGGCAGCCTCGGTTGCGACCTGGACAAATGGGCGGAGCCAAGCGTCATCCGACTCCGCGGCCGTGAGCCTTGATACCCACTGTACTTCTCTCTTCAAACCACGGTTTAAAGAATTACTATAAATCGTGAGCGTATTGAAAGCTTTTAAATGAGGCGACACTCACATAATATAGAACTAGCCGTTCTGAAATGGACAGAGTAGTAGCATTTAGTACCTTCACAATATTGTGCACCCATCATCTCTCTAGTTCCAAAATTGAAGATTTCGAAGATTTAGAAAAACACAAAATTAAAATGATGCCCAGTCCCACCATGTAGAGAATACCACCGTCAAGATTTGGCCGAGACATCTTCGCGTTAAAGCCCTTTTCAAATACAAGGATGGATATGGGAGTGCGTGGTAAAGGACTGCACAGACGTTCTCTGATACTTGCATTTTATTTCAAGGGTGGGTAAGAGTTTTTGCCCCCTTGCCTTGGGGATTGGTCTCACAAAGAGTGCTTCAAATGCAGTTTCTGGAGGAAACAGGACCCTAGGAGTAGAAAAATCTTAGAGCGCTCCTCTTTTTTTTTGTATAACTAGAGAAACTTGCTGAAGATTACCATTCAGGAGGTGGTTTGACTTCCAGGACAGAAACTTTTTCAGCTACCCTCTCCTTCCTCCCCGATATACATTACCTCTCAAAAATAATAGAGATAGTAATAACTAACATTCAGGTAATGTTGACACATTTTCACATGCACTTCTCACTGAGTCCCCTCTAGTGCCCTGTGGCAGGAGGGCCGTGGTTTTACTGATGGCCAAGCTAAGGCTTAGAGAGGTAAAGCCAGGTGCTTAGGATCACATCAGCCGGTGGCAAAACTAGAGCTAAACCCATGTCTGGCTCCACCTCTGGGATTTTTTTCGAAAATTCTGCTCTGTCCTGGAAGGGTTTTGAGCAGGGACTTACATAATCCACATGTTAGCCTGAATTAGGGGGTACTAATCAGACAGCTGTTATCATAGTTGCCCCGTGAACTGGAAACAGCTAGGCCAAGGTCTTAGAAGCAAGGATGGGATTAAATCAATGGCAAAAATGATTACTTGCACTCACACTCTGGGCCTGCAATGAGATGAAGGGATCTGAGCTGCCTGCTGCCCTGCAAGAACTTGTGGTCTATAGAGGAGAGGAGACAGACCTGCAAATCAGAGTAGAATTTGGGTAATGCAGCCAGGTACCCAGCGCAGTGTGGGAGTGTAATGTCCCTCCAATGGGAACGTCAATCAGTTCTGGGTGTTCGGGAAAGGGACCAGAAGAGGTTTCACAGGGATGGCATTTTGAGCCAGGCCTGGAAGCTGGGTAGGAGTTTATCAGGCAGAAGATAGATGGGAAAGATTCTACCAAGAAAGAAATAATAGGACTCAGTGACAATAATAATAATAATAGGTGTCATTATTAAGCACTTACTATGCCCAGGCACATTTTTACTTCTTTGGGGTTTTTTTGTTTTTGTTTTTGTTTGAGACTGAGTCTTGCTCTGTTGCCCAGGTTGGAGTGCAGTGGCATGATCTCAGCTCACTGTGACCTCCACCTCCTGGGTTCAAGCAAGCATGCCTGGCTAATGGTTGTATTTTTAGTAGAGATGGGGTTTCACTATGTTGGCCAGGCTGGTCTCAAACTCCTGACCTCTAGTGATTTGCCCACCTCAGCCTCCCAAAGTGCTGGGATTACAGGCGTGAACCACCCATGCCCAGGCTTTTTATACTTATTTCTTTTCATCACTCCAAAGATCCTATGAGGCAGGTTCTCTAAGATGATATTTTTCATATGAGGAAACAGAGGTCCTAAAAGGAGCAGTAAATGTTCCAAAGTCACACAGGGAAGTGGTGAAGTCGGGGTTTGAACCTACAGCTACCTACCTCTAAAGGCCAAAGTCTTTACTACCATGTTTAAGTGTCCTCTACAGTGGCTTGCAGGGTGACAGAAGGAAATGGGAAGAAAGCTGGAACTCAGGCATCAGCCAAGGGTCAGGAGCAGCAGCAGTAGCCACAGCAACAAGCAGGAGACCAGGGCAAGGGAGCGGAGGGAGGCCATTTGTCTGCATTCCGTGGTGTGGGCATGGTCACTTCTGTTGTTTTTACTACAGATCGCTCTTGCCTAGGGTGCTGGAATCAGAGTGCACTCACCGTGGAATTACACTGAAACCTCTCACCCAAAGACAGTGAATAAATCCCGTTACCAGCTTGCAGGGGGCCAGCCCCTCCACACCTGTGGGAGTTTCTCATCAGCTGGAACGAGAGACTGAGAAAAGAAAGAGACACAGAGACAAAGTATAGAGAAAGAAAAGTGGGCCCAGGGAACTGGTGCTCAGCATACGGAGGACTGCACCGGTCTCTGAGTTCCCTCAGTATTTATTGATCATTATTTCTACCATCTCTGCGAAGGGGATGTGGCAGGACAATAGGGTAATAGTGGGGAGAGGGTCAGCAGGAAAACTTGTGAACAAAGGTCCTTGAGTCATAAACAAGGTTGAGAAAAGGTCCTGTGCTTTGATATGCATGTACACAAACATCTCGTGCATTAAAGAGCAGTATTGCTGCCAGCATGTCTCACCTCCAGCCCTAGGGTGGTTTTCTCCTATCTCAGTAAATGGAACATACAATCGGGTTTTACACCGAGACATTCCACTGGAGCAGGAGACAGATGCCTTCCTCTTATCTCAACTGCAAGGAGACCTTCCTCTTTTACTAATCCTCCTCAGCACAGACCCTTTATGGTGTCGGGCTGGGGGATGATCAAGTCTTTCCCTTCCCACGAGGCCATATCTCAGACTATCACATAGGGAGAAACCTTGGACAATACAGGGCTTTCCTAGGCAGAGGTCCCTGCGGCTTTCCACAGTGTGTTGTGTCCCTGGGTACTTGAGATTAGAGAGTGGTGATGACTTTTAACAAGCATACTGCCTTCAAGCAGTTGTTTAAAAAAGCACATTCTGCATAGCCCTGAATTCATTAAACCTTGAGTCAACACAGCAAATGTCTCTGCCAGCACAGGGCTGGGGCTAGGGTTACAGATTAACAGCATCTCAAGGCAGAAGAATTTTTCTTAATACAGAACAAAATGGAATCTCTTATGTCTACTTCTTTCTACATAGACACAGTAACAGTCTGATCTCTCTTTCTTTTCTCCACACCAGCTGGTTCCTTTTTTATTTCCTTCCTTCCCTTGGGGAAATAATTAATCTTCATTGGATTTTTCCTGTTTGCAAAAGTAATCCATGCTCATAAAAATGTAAATATTATGAAATACATAATGTAAACATGTATGAAATACATACATCATGCCCCAGAAAGGTAATCTTTGGCACATATTCCTTCATATATTTTTCTATGAATATATTAACATTAAAAACAATTTTAAGTGGATTCCTAGGATAGATACTATTTTGCAATTTTTTTTTTTGCACTTAGCATATCGGGACAATGTTCTGTGTCAGAATATATAGATTTCCCTCATTCCATGTATTAGTAGCAAATTATTCTAAAATATGGATATGCCATAATTTTGTTTAAAATTTTTTGTTTAAAAGAAAATGTTTAAACACATCCTTCCCTTTCTTTCTTTCTTTCTTTCCTTTTCTTTTCTTTCTTTCTTCTCCTTCTTTCTTTCCCTCCCTCCCTCTCCCTCTCTCTCTCTCCCTCTCTCTCTCTCTCCTTCCTTCCTTCCCTCCCTCCCCCTTCCTTCCTTCCCTCCCTCCCCCTTCCTTCCTTCCTCCCTCCCTTCCTTCCTTCCTTGCAACTAAGTCTTGCTCTGTCACCCAGGCTGGAGTACAGTGGCACGATCTAGGCTCACTGCAACCTCCACCATCCAGGTCCAAGTGATTCTCCTGCCTCAGCCTCCCGAGTAGCTGAGATTACAGGTGCCTGCCACCACACCTGGCTAAGTTTTGGATTTTTAGTAGGTATGCGGTTTTACTATGTTGGCCAGGCTGGTCTCAAACTCCTGACCTCAAGTGATCCGCGCTGCCTCGGCCTCCCAAAGTGCTAGGATTACAGGCATGAGCCACCGCTCCCAGCCTGTTTAAACATTTTATTGTTGATGGATGTAGGGTATTTCTACTTTTCACACCTGCAAACAATGCTATCATGAGCATCCTTGTACATTTTTTGTGCATGAACAAGTATTGCTATAAGATAGATTCCTAGAAGGGGAATTGCTGGGTCAGAATGTCAGCACACTGCTAAATTCCCCTCCAAAAGTTGGTGCCAATTCGCACACCCACCAGCAGAGTTCAGCCCTTGATAGAAATAAAGATTCTGCAATGTTTCTCCATTTGTCTCCCTTCCAGGCGTTCACACCCAATTATCAGCAATTTTCATGTTCACAAACAGTTTTCTTCCTGCAATGCAAAACCACCAGCTGGAAGGTTCCATCACATTCCTGTTTGCATTTTGCCTTTCCCCAGGAAGAGGCAGAAGCAATGTAGCCAGGAACACATTTGTATTCTTCAGTAGAAATCTCCCTGCTCCTGGCCCTTCATCCACTCTCTTTTAAATTACCATGGCTTGTGAAATTAGAGGCTATTAGGAAGCCCCAGTGTTCTATATAATCGCTTTAGGGTTCTGTTGGAAAGCTTATACCAATGAAATAAACATGTTAGAGAGCCACTTACAAATACAGATAAATGCCTGGTTACTCGAGTGAATATTGGGCCTCATTCTTCTGATTTATCTAGCAGTTTTCTTTGTATTCCTTAATAATGACCTTGTTAGGCTAACTTTCACTAGGAGAAGGTTCATCTAATCCGTCTAATCCATTTTTTCAAAAAGCCCTCTTAAAAATTGTCTATAGCTTTAATGCTTTTTTTCCCCCCCCCATCAGTGTTTAAGTACAGGAGAGAAGAATGTTTGGGAAAAGAAAAATCCAGGCTCT